AACTCAATCCGATGGTGCTGTTGAGCGCTACAAAGCTCGCCTTGTTGCCAGGGGTTTTTCGCAAGAGTATGGTCTTGATATAAGGAGACATTTGCTCATGTTGCTCGTTTGACATTTGTCCATTGTCTCTTTGTTGTTGCCGTTGTTTGACGTTGGCAATTATTATAGTTGGATCTGAAAAATGCGTTTCTTCATGGAGATTTGTCTAAGGAAGTCTGCTTGACCCCTCCACCTGGCTCAGGTATGTCAGCTATGGCGTGCCCTTTATGGACTGAAGTAGGCGCCCCGAGCTTGGTTCGCCAAGTTTAGTGTTGCACTCATTCTCTATGGTTTTTTTGCATTTTCCTAAGACTTTGCTCTCTTTATTCATCGTTCTCCTGCCGGGATCATCATTTTTTTGTTGTATGTGGATGACATGGTTATTACCGGCGACGACACTTCTGGCATATCCGATCTACAAGCCTACCTTCATCAACACTTTGACATGAAGAGTCTTGGTTAGCTCCACTATTTTTTCGGACTTGAGATTTCTGACGCTCCAGATAGCATATATCTATCTCAGGCGAAATATGCATCTGATCTCATATCTCGTTCAGGTCTGACTGATAGCAAGATTGCATCCACCCTTCTCGAGGGGAACTGCCGATTTGATCCTTTCGACGGCACTCCACTAGAGGATCCTTCCCGTTATCGACAGTTAGTGGAATCCTTGATATACTTGACGGTCACTCGCCCTGACATAGCTCATACGGTTCGATGTTGCTGCTCAATTCATGACTAATCCCCGGACAGTTCACTATGTTGCTGTGTTGTGCATCCTTGGTTATGTCAAGGGAACACTCCTACATGGTCTTCATTTTTCTGCTGACTCTCCATTGGTTCTTGCAGGTTTCTCTGATGCTGATCACATGTTATTGTTTTTTTCTTGAGAGTTCCCTTGTTTCTTTGCGCAACAAGAAACAAACTCTCGTTTCTCGCTCCAATGCAGAGTCTGAGTATCATGCTCTTGCGGATTCGACTTCAGAGCTCATTTGGCTTCGTCGGCTTCTTTCTGATCTCAGGGTTCCTCAGCCTTCTTCTACTTCCCTCCATTGTGACAGCACCACACAATTCAGATCTCCAATAATGTTGTCTTTCACGAGCGCACCAAGCTTATTGAGATTGATTATCACTTTGTTCATCAACATGTTCGTGCAGGCACTGTTCATCTATCTTTTGTTTCTTTCAAGGATCAGACTACGGATATCTTCACCAAATCCCTCTTCCCAGGCCAGTTCTCCACATTGTTGAGCAAACTCAAGTTGATTTCTACTTTACCACCTTAAGTTTGAGGGGGGTGTTAGCAAATTTTTTTATATATTATCATTTGGAGCCCACATATATATGCCTATATATATGCACATTGAAACTCTCATTTTTTGTTCATATACAATTTTTATTTTTCACAAATATTCAAACATGTAGTTCAAAAAATTAAAGTACTCTTCTTAGTAGCAATGATAACTAGTGTTACTCAATTTTGTGTCCTCAAGAATCCTCTCGAGGAATCTCTTGGATATGTTGTTGAAATTTAAGGATAGAATAATAGCTAGATTAAGTTAATTAATTAACTAACTTTTTTTTAAAAAAAAAAAAAATAATAACACTAATATTGAAAGCAATACTGAGGATAGTGAGGGCAGCTGGCCCACTAATTTTTAATTTTGTTTTTATTTTTATCATTTGAATTTGTCAAAGTATGTTTGAGATTGTTCAGTTAAATAATCTTTTATTAATAAGATATTCAATATATATAATATTTTATTTTTTATTAAAAAAATAATATTTAATATAAAATAATATTTTTTATATTATTTATATGATTTTTAATAATTTGCATTAAAAAATACTTCAAAATAAAATACATCAAATATATGTATTTATATAATTCATTACTTCTTGTCTTTGTCTCGCGTTGCTTTGTAGCAAATAATAATAATAAAACATATATTAAATGTTTATATATATATATATATATTCCGTTTTAGCCCCACAATAAATGCTTCATTTGTTCTTTTATCAAAAAGTATTTCAAAATTTGTCCAAGAAGATAATGGCCTTGTACTTAGAAGTATGTATGCATTAAATGAGCCTGTTTGTTCGTGTAATTTTTAATAACAGGAGGGATGATACGCTGAATATTCTAATTCAGCATGGCTGAATTGAATCATTACTTGACAAAATAAAATTAGTGCCAATGACAACTTCTATAAAATAAAATAAAGGCTGGCATGGATCTCATGTTCCAGTCATATTATTGTTGATGCAGATTTTTAACAATAAAAAGTAAAATTCGAAAATAGAAATTATTTCTGAATTTGAGTAAAAAGATATCTGAAATTGAAAATTTTTAGACACCGTACGGTACATAAAAAAATAAATAGAAAAGAAATGCTAAATGATGTAAAAGTAAATTGAAGATGCCGCTTTTAGGTCGTGAAAAGACCTATTTAAAAACCCATGCCAACCGCCCAAATGTAGTTATCAGATCGTGCCTTCATATCCGATTGCCAGTTGTAACTTCTTCCAACCTCCTTGGAACTGCTTTTCATCCGACCTGCACGTCCACTGGTTCTTCTCCCTTTGCCCGTCTTTCATTTGTCCGACCTCCGCATCGGCCACCTCATCTTTCTTCGCCCGACTTTCCTTTGCCCGACCTCTATGCCAACCGACGTCTATTGTCTCCCTTTCCTTCGTCCGACCTCTCCTTGTCCGACCTCTATATCCACCGATCACCTAGTCACAGGTTCTCCCGAAAAAGCCCATTTTCTTAATAACGCTTTGACCATTGGGCCTATACTCAAACCCATAGTCTTATTTATAAGCCTATTCTCGAAAACCCCACACATTGGTTTTCCTTACTTAACCACTTGCCCCCCCCCCGCCCGACTCTTAAGCGTCACTTCTCGGACTGTGTGAGATATGACGTTTAGGGGTTTGTAGCACAGTGCCATCATTACACTGTTTATGTCACATCGTGGGGTTTATGTAAAAACCCTTCTCTCACCCTTCCATATTCACGCACTCAGAATTCTGAAATCCTTCATTTTCTCTCCAGCGAATATCCTTCAAAATCTCTTCTCTTTCGTTTTCTGCATATCCTTCGCAAATGACCAACCAATATGTCCTTGCTCTTCCTTTCGACGGGACTGACCCATCGGTCCCGTTTGTAGCTTCAAGGGTTCTCACCCCTACCATTCGCCCCTATTGTACCACAAACGAAGATGCCGATCATATGAAATTTGTCATCTCTCAAGTTTCTCCGATGTCCATAAATGATGTTGCTTTCAAGCCGGAACGACTTCTGGACAGCATCAGGACTCACCTCACCGATCCTAAAGATGCGTACGTAAGTGGCATGCGAGATTGCGCCCCCACTATCAAGAACAATGGAGGAGGCAGGGCATCGACAAGGCCATCCTGCTGTCAACCCAACCTCTTCACCTCCATGATAAGGCCCTGTTGGCGATGGCAGCCTTCTGGCACGCACAGATGGGAATTTTCTTTCTCCCTTCTGGTCCCATTGGCCCGACCCTTATGGACATGGCCCTCATCGTCCACTTACCTATAGTGGGCGACGATCTTGTACTGGTCTCTTTCGAGGGTCGGGAGCCCTCGCCCGACCATGCTAGTTGGGCCCTCGCCAAACTTGCCGAGAAGGAGAGAGGCTGGACCAGCTTTGTCACCAAATTTTTGGGCGAGGAAGGCACCCCTGTGTCCGAGTTGGAATACACAACGTTCCTCCTCTTTTGGCTATGCAGGTACACTTTCTTTCCCTTATACTTTTCTATGTAAATTCAAAGTCAGATATTTAGTTGAGTTTTTCTTTCTTCACAGATATATAATTCTTTCCCCCTTCAAGCTTGTTCTTTCTTTCCAGGTTGATCTGGCTATTCATCTGGCCAGTGGCCAGTTTTTCTCTCTAGGAACCTTATTTTTAGCTAACCTTTTTTAGGGTTTATCCTGAGTGAGTGCCCGCCTAACCGACACCAAAAAGGCGGACACAACTACTTCGGGACCATTTTGGTTCCTGGAGCTGTGGCTTCGCCTATACTTCCCGAATCCAATTTTTGGCCGACTTCCTATTAGCCCGAACCCTCAGAGATCAATAGGTTTTGCTTTAGCCCAATTAACTCCTAGTTCCTCTAATCTTCATCCATCCGATCCTGTCATCACCTAAATTTTGACCGAAGACCGAAGCAACTCCCGTTATTATGTTTATGAAACTCTCGCCTAATATGCCACCGACCTTTTTTGGCTCTATCCCGACACTCTATATCCCCGCTCTTATCCCGATCCTCTTCCCCATCCGACCTATCCCTTCTCATGGGATTCTACTTTGAAACCGCGATCTCTATTTTCAAGTAAGAGGTCGGACAAGAAAAATTTAGATCCTTTTATACTTTTAACTATCAACGCCAGTTTCTGGCCCGACAGTTCGATTGCTGTCAGGGCCTACCGGGACCACTGGCCTGACCTTACCTTATACCTCAAAGCCCAGAAGGGCTGGTGATCCCCGAGCTCATACCATATTTCCCAACTCACAAACTATATTACCTCCAACTCTTACTTACCTTTCCGCCTTAAACCTTCGGCGGATGAGGCCTTCCCGACCTGGTGGTCAGCCACTTGGTCTCTTATTGCTCCTCCAACCGACCAGTTGATTGGAAAACTCATTCCGCCCCTAACATTGGCTCTGGGATCTCCCCGATTAGTCTCTACTCCTAAGAGGAAGAGCTCGGCGCCTACCGAAGGCGGATCTGGAGCCAAAAAGAAGAAACCAAAGACCGCCCCCGCCATCGACATGCAGGCAATCGAGGAGTACCAGTGGACACAAGCGGACTGCCAAAATACTTGAAGGAGCAATTCGGTAAGTTCTTCCTTCAAGTTCATTTTCCTTTAACGTGTACTTTTTCATTTTAACATTTTTAATTTCAGAGACCCCTTCGCTGCCACCAACCATGGCCCCGACTGTCTCTCAGCCGACTGCAACCCAGCCGACCATTACCCCGATCGATCCTCAACCAACCATTACTCCAGATTCTCCTCAACCAGCCCCAATCCCGACTGCCAATCAATCGACCGCTGCATCATCCGACACACCCATCGAACAACTGGCCACTCAACTGGTCGGTCCATCAGAAAACCTTCCGACCGCTGGGCGATCGACCACGACACAACCGACCCCTCTGCAGGTTGAGGTAAAGTATTTCCTAATACCTCTAAGAAAAAATTATTCAACTTCATCACTAATTTCAATTCTCCTTTGTGTAGGTCCAGTCGAGTCCTTCGTCGGTTGCTTCTCAACCGACCCCCCTTGCTGTAGAGGGGGAACTGCCGATGATCCGCCGGCCGGAGGAACCGGCGGGGAGGCAAACTTCTCATCCAGTTTCGTCTTCACCTGTTCCCCCACCACCACATGTAACTGCCAAAGTATTTCCACGTGATTCCCTTTATAAATCTCTAACTCATGTATCATTACTTTCAACTAGGAACCTGAAATGGTCGTGGCGGTGCCCGACCAAATTGCCGCATTGCCTGACCCAGTGGCGGCACCGCCCGACCAAGTAGTTGCACTGCCTTTGCAGCCAGCCGCCCAACCCGTTGGCGAGGGACCTCCCGCAGTGCCCCAACCAGTGCAACCGATCCCACCGCGTCACGACATCGAGAAGATCTCCTCGAAGTCGGGCGAAGTTTCAGTAAATTTTATCCCATGGGGCTCGGTTAGTATTCCTTTATCTTTACCCTTTGATTCTTTTGTTCCCTTTCCTTAACTAATACTTCCTTTCAGGGTATGGAACTGGTCGCTGCCCATCGTCTGCAACCAGAAGACGAGTCGGCCATCGGCCCGACGACCCGCCAAGGTACTCCTATGGCGTTCCGGGTCATGGCTCCTTCCGAAGCAACAACCGTTTTTCAATCAGGTAGATTTCAACCCTGTATCTATTTTTTGGTGAGTTCATTTCTGTTCCTTTATACTTTAACATTTTTTATTTCAGGCTGCCTAAGAGATGAGTATACTGGCTCAAGTTACTCTCCCGACTCCTGCCCGACCAATCGTAGTACGCTGTGCTGACTTGCCTTTCGCCGACCTGAGTCCAGCCGACCTTGAGGCTTTGGTTCAGGTCGCATAGAATTTTTAGTGCAGCACCCACTGGAGTCGGGAGCTACTCCCATTCTCGATGGGATGATGGAGAGGATCACAGAACTTCAGGCGAACTACCTCTGATCTGACCTCCGTTATCCGAGGCCACGTCATCTCAACCGACCGCTGATCCGGCTAGCCTTGAAGTATCCTTGAAAAAGGTCAACGAAGACCTTGATCTTGCCAAGGCTAATGCTGGATGAACTCCAACAAGCGCAACAAACGCTGGCGGCTAAGATCTCCCAAAAGACAGAAGAGCTCAATCGCCTTCAACAACAATTGGATTCCTTGGATGACAACATCCAAGAAGGAGGTCGTCTGGTGGAGGAACATCGCCAAACACAAACGTGTCTCTACGATCAACTTCAATCGAACATAAGAATGAGACTCGTTAGAGGACACAAGGAGGCCTACCAGCGGCGTCGGGCAACCCGGTCGGAGCTAAAGTGGGCCAACCTCCGAGCTGCCCTTCGGGCCCTTCTTTCTCCCTAGCTTAGTTGTAACATGTATATAACTTCCAGACTTGGTCTATATATATATATCCTACTTTTCAGAACATCGATCCATATTTTTTGCATCTTCAGCTAAGTTAGAAACTGAACACTGCAATATATATAACTTATACTTCCCCACCACGAATGTCACCAATACACTTACATCCAAAATGTTTTCTCCCCACATTCGTGTCCCTGCCAACAATTGAGAGAGTACCTTACAACCATTCCTTGTGGGCAAACACTCCATAGGTCATCATGCTGAAGACCTGATACAGAGGTAGGAAGATTATACATCATACGATTCGCCTGGTGGAACGTGTGTCTACCTGCTACGAGCCCTTCACTGACATTCTTACCCATATATCTGACCTGGATCATCATATGGATATCCATCATGTTATGGCCACTTCTACCAGCAAAGATCAACACTTTCCAAGCTGCGTGTGCTTGCTGAACGAGAATGTCATTCTTTACAAGATATGAAAGTTCGCATCGGACAAGACCTTCAAGAAATGCAAGATCAATGTGATCGCTATCGTCCGGATTTAGAAGACTTCTGGATGAAGAACCTGAGATGGTTTCTGCGAATTGGGATGTTGTTTTTGAACCAGAGGATGATCATATTTGTGTCACCCTTCCAGATGATGAATAAAAACCCCTCCCTGTGGGTTCGGACCTTTAAAGGGTTCTTAAGTCTCTTGTAATAAGAATTAATAACCATGTTATGAAAAGACAGGAAAATACCTTTTCAGATACTTAGCATTAATATTCTCATGTACCAATTTTCCTTCCTGATTCACAATAATAAAAGCTCCATTTCCAATTACTCTGTGAATGATGAAAGGACCTTCCCAATTGGAAGACCACTTCCCTAACTGATCCACTTTCTTATATGTGGGCAGAATCATTTTTCACACCAAATCTCCTTCTGTAAAACTCTTAGGAGATACTCTTTTTCCATAATATTTAGCTCTTATCTCATTTTGTTTGACCACTCAATCCAGAGCATTCAATCGATCAGTATCTACTTCCTCCAATTGTCGCCACATCCCTTGTACATAAGCTTCATCATTATTCACCGTTGTACTAATTATCCTAAGTGAAGATACAACAAATTCGGCATGAAGTAAAGCATCTTGCCCGAACGTTAATTGGTAGGGGGAAAATCCAGTAGAAGTGTTCATACTATTTTGGTGGGCCCATAATGCCTGAGGCAGCAAGGTATGCCATTTCCTTGAATTTCCCTCCACCATTTTCCGGATGATGCCGATGACAATTTTATTTACCGCTTCAACCAATCCATTAGCCTGTGGGTAATAAGGCGATGAATGATGCAGTTTGATGTTGAATTCGGCCAAAAACTCGATAAATTTTTCCCCGGTACACATCAAACCTTGATCGGTCGTAAGAGTGTGAGGGATCCAAACTGATAAATAATGTGAGTCAGCACAAAATCGTTCACCTCTTTTTGTGTCACATTTCTCAAAGGGACTGCCTCTACCCATTTGGTGAAGTAATCAGTTGCTACCAAAATGAACGAATGTTGCTTCGAGGAAGCCGGATGAATTTTCCCTATTACATCCAATGCCCAGGCTTTGAATGGCCATGGTTTGATCATTGCTTGGAGTTCCACTGCTGGCAGATGATTTAACGGGCCATGCCTCTGACACTCCTGACATCCTTTAGCAAATTTGATACAATCATCAAATATTTTTGGCTAATAGAACCCCAATCTATGAATAGCCCATCGCATATTCAATCCTGCTCGGTGTGCCCCACAAATTCCACCATGAACTTCTTCCATCACTTTGATTGATTCTTCTGGTCCCAAACACCTTAATAATACTCCCTCAAAGATTCTCTTATACAGAACCCCTTCAATGAGTTGAAAGCGTAATGCTTTCAATCGGATACCCACAGAAGTCGCAAAATTCGGTAATTCCAAATAGACTATAATTTTTGTTCGCCAATCGGTACTTGTATCAATATTGCCAACAATTATTTGCTGACACGCATTCTGAGCTAAATTATCTGTTTGTCGATTCTCTGTTCTCGGTACATGCTCAATAACCACCTCCGCAATTCTATATAACAAGCGATATACCATATCTCTATATTGACGTAAATGAGGATAATTACAAGTGTACCGTCTTAACCTTCCCTGCATGGTTGGTCTGTGCAGAATTAATTTGATCAGATCCACCTTGGAAACTACCTCGGTTTCTCTTGGCAGAATATAATGCTCCAACCGAGTACATGCGAAGACTAAAGAATAACACATTTTTTTAGGCATGGTATAATTCAGCTCTGGCCCCGCCAGAGTTTTGCTTAAGTAGTAAATAGCCTTTTCCTTGCCGCCTTCCCATTTTTGTGCTAGCAGACTGCTCACCACATCGAAACTGTTTGCCACATACAGTCTAAGAGGTCGATCTCCTCTTGGGGGAACCAACACGGGTGGTTTTGTTAATGCCTGCTTAATTTCTTCGAATGCCTCTTGCTGCTCTGGACCCCAAGAGAAATCTGTTGCTTTATTCTTTAATAACTTTGTGATGGGTTTTAACTTTCCTACAGCATTTGATATGAACCTCCTCAGGTAATTTACTTTACCCAACAAACTTTGAACCTCTTTGACCGTCCGAGGGGGTCGCATCGTCAAAACAACTTTAGTTTTGTTTGCATCAACCTCTATTCCCTTTTCATGCACTAAGAAACCCAGGAAATTTCTTGCCGAAAATCCAAAGGCGCATTTCGTTGGGTTCATTTTCAGGTTGTATTGCTTCATCCACAGAAAAGCATTTTTTAGGTCGACCAGATGTGTATCAAAGTCAGTAGACTTAATGATCACATCATCAATATATACCTCCATGGACTGCCCAATCAAATCATGAAAGATAGTATTCATTGTCCGTTGATAGGTTGCTTCAGCATTCTTTAAACCGAACGGCATAACCGTCCATTCGTAGATCCCCAAAGCTCCTGGGCACCTGAACGCGGTTTTTGGTATATCTTCTTCTGCCAGTGAGATCTGATTATACCCCGCATAACCATCCATCAGATTTAGAATTCGGTATCCTGCCGCCGAATCAATCAACATATCAGCTATGGGCATTACATATTCATATTTAGGAGTAACTATATTGAGATCTCTGAAGTCGATGCAGATCCAAAATTTTCCATTCTTCTTGGTTAACGGGACAATGTTGGCTATCCATTCTGCATACCGACAGGGTCGAATGAACCCTACTTTCAATAACTTCTCAATCTCTTCTTTGATCTGCAGAAGCAGTTCTGGACTAACCCTTCTTGGAGGCTGCTTATACGGCTTGAACCCCTTCTTAATGGGTAACCTGTGTTCTACTAAATTGCGTGCCAATTCAGGCATTTCAGAATAATCCCATGTCAAACACTCCATATGGTCCCGAATTACCGTTACTATTTGCTCTTGTTGGTTTTTAGACAACAAACCACTAACCCTGACCATCTTGGGTATCTGTTCAGTTCCTACATTGTATTCAATGAGCGGATCCTGAGTTGATAAAGAAGGTTCTGTTTTCTCCAGCAAGTCAGGCCAGTGAAAGCCTTCTCCCTCATCAACATTATTGTTGGAACCTTCCTCACTATGTAATATAACCATTAATTGGTTTAAATAAAACTGCCTAATCAACAAGTTGCATTCACTTATCTCTTCCATAATTAAACTTTAATAAATTTAATATTTTCGGCTAACAACAGAGCCATAAGAAAGAAAATGTTTATAATGAAACACATACCCCTGCGCAGTGAGCTTGCAGCTCTTCCATGGATACTCATCAACCACAATTGTCTGTGAAATCGGAGGTACATACTCAGAATACAGTACGGATTCTTCCACAATCTCTGTGGAGCCGAATGGATTAGTGCTTGCATCCATTATGAACACTTGATCTCCTTCCCAGAACATGATTTGCTGATGGAGAGAAGAGGGCACGCACTTGGAAGCGTGAATCCAATCTCGCCCCAATAGGACCGAGTAAGTAGTATTAGCATCCACTACAAAGAACATGGTTGAGATCACCTTCGTTCCTACCTCAATAGGGGCCACCATCATCCCTTCCGGTTTCGTTGGCTGTCCTGTGAAGCTTGTCATCTCGATGTCAACCGGCGATAGATCGCCAACTCCTTTCCCCAATTTCTTCAAGGTCTTGAGAGGCATAACGTTGAAGACAGCTCCATTATCAATGAAAACCTTGTTAATCGGCTTACCACATATGTGAGCGTTAACATATAATGGTTTCAAGTACGGGATCACTCCTTCTGGTATAGGTGGAAAAACCATGGGTGGGGGGCTGCTATGTGTATATCCGGGGCTGCCACCCATTGCCGCCCATTCTGGTTCCTCGTCCTTCAGACTTGCCCAGATAGGCTCATCTCCCTCTTCGAACCACCGCATACCAG